TTAAAAAATTATTATAATTTATCGCATCATTTTTTATCTTTATGTGAAAGGTAAAAAAATCACTAAAATAATCAATTCCCAAACGAATTTTTAATCTACAAAATTGTAACCGCGGTTAGAGAGAATCAGAGAAAACTATTTTCAACATCTGTTTTTTATTTCTTTTTTTTTTTTTTTTAGTTTGATTTTTGTAATCAAACAAATTCTCATTTTTTGAAAAATCCCACAACCCCTTTTGGATCTCCACCATTGATGTATGTATGAAATTCATTCATGTATGTATGGAGCTCACACCATCAATGGTGGAGATCCAAAGGGGTTGTGGGGGTCTCCAAAAAATGGGGTCTCAATCATTGTTGTTTTTTTTAAAAAAAAGAAAAAGAAACTAGTTTAGTAAAAATTAATTTGGTCCCAAAAAAGAAAAAAAAAATAGTTTTCAACAACTATCTTCTGTTTTTTTTTTTTTTTTAATAGAAAAAAGAATAACTAAAAACTAGTAATAAAAAATACTCATCATTTTCATATTGTTTCCCCCACCATTTTTTATGACAAACGGAACTATTTTTGAAAAAAATATTTTCATCAAAGTAGTTTCTATTTTAAAAATTAAAAAAATAATAATAAATTTTAAAAATCATATATATTATTTATCACTAATGATTTAGACAGCTTCCTAAAATTATACTAATTTCACTCAAAATGAAAACTTCAGTGAAAAATTGATAAAATTGAAACTTGGAACATAAAAATGATACAAAATACATACTTATCATAATTGTGTTTTATCGTCCAGATATTCATGCACTTGAGGCCTTAATCTCAGTATTCTCAATTCTCAAATTTCTCTATTCTTTTATTAAATACATTTTTCAAATCTTGTCCTGAGATTCAAATATTTCAAACTTTTCATATAATTTAATGATTGAAAATATATTAAAACACAAATATGAAAAGATTTAAAATTGTAAGAACACAAATACTAAATATAGAGCCATGCACTGAAACAAATAGATTGATAAGATTTCTGAAAAGGAAGTCTCATTAACGAATCTTATAAAATTTTATTTATTGATATATTTTATATGTCGATTTATTTCTGAGAATTATGTGTTCGATTTCTATATTACTCACAATGTTGAAGGATTAAGAGAGGGAGAATCCTTTGACAACTAATTTCCGCGTACTTGGAGGCCCATCTCTAATGGAAAAATCTGAGACACAAAACAACTCATCTCTCTCTCTCTCTCTCCGCGTTATTAAAAATTTTTATAAAACAAAAAAATAAACAACTTTAGTGACAACTTTTTGAGATGTTTCACAATATGGATGATCACTCTTTCTGTCTCTCACTTGGTAAATCCATGTATCTAATGCTTTAGTAGTATACTAGAGAGAGACAGTCAGTCAAGCATTGATTTGTGATGATCATGTTGTTGGGCTCTCTACTACCACTTTTTATTATCCTCCCGGCTTGGATTGAAGTGAGAAAAAGCAGAATGAAACACTCAAAGACCAAATGGATATATCAATGGCCAAAATATGTAGTTTAAAAAAAAAAAAGAAAAAGAAAGTGAAAAGGTACACTAGATGAGAATAGAAATCAAAAGGTGATTTTGTTTGGGTCTCATTCACTTCACTTAGTGTGTTTCTTTAGCACAATTTCAAAAAAATGATGTCTGGGTTCGCATTAGTACATACACAACCCTCTCTTGATATATATAGTACTTGCTATACTTCACTTCTTTCTAAAATGGATAAGGTTTCCCTAAATTGAGCCTTTGAGTTTGGCTCTCTCTTATATCAAAGTGTTAAAAACATAAGAAGTCATATGGTATTTTCGGAACATCACATGACTATGCGTTCACCCAACAATAAAAGGTATGTCACCATTTAAAAAATAAAAAGAGAATAAAATAAACATTTGAATATGTGTAATTGGACGGACATAAGATCATGTTAGTATTCCTAGTCTATTGAATAATTTCTGGTTTAACAAGCTTTTTAGACCTTGTCTACGGTGTAATTCGCATCACCCAATCCAATTTTAAATTTGATTGTAACCTGAGCTAAAACTTTTCTACTCTCCCTAATTTGGTGAGATGAACATAGCGAAACACTGCAACTATGACCAATTAATGTTATAGCTAGGTTTATCAAACTCAGAGTGGGCAGTGATAGTATAGTTGAATAGTTCGTAAGGGTGGCTAATTATTAATCACATCTTAATTGGCATGCCATGTTCTTTAAAATTTGATCAACCACATCTAATTTGCTTACTTCTGTTAATTGGTCAAACAAATCAGTATTACACTGTATTTTGCGGCACGATAAAGAAACTGATAAAAATAACCTTTTGGCAGTTGGATCTCTTGGTTGAATTTTATGGGTTTACATTTGCAAAGGCTCTGGTCTTCCACAAAACCTTATCCATAATCATTAAAAATGCAAAAAATCGGCCGTTTATTCACTAAATCGAAAGGTTCATACCGGAAACTGTGGTCTCAGATCTTCTTAATTTGTTATATGTGATCACAATGACTTTAGCTCTGAAGGTTTTGCAAATCTAACCAAATCAACTGTAGGGTAGTGTGAATCGACTTCAATTTGGAGTGTGGTTATTTTTGATATTTTTGCACTTGTGTCTTATTGCCCTAATTATATCTATAGTTGACCAATATCTCTAATTAAATTTCATATGAACTTAAAGATGAGATAAGTTCTCTTCATATGACTAATAATAGAGGGGTTTTTTTTTAAAAAATTTTTTGGGTGAAAATTGAAATGTTGAGCTTGTTTGTATTAAGTAGTTGTTTGGAATGTGCTATATAAATGTACTTTTTGACTTTTTAGTTAAAAAAATAGAGAAAAAAAAGATGTACGTTTGGGATAACTTTTTAATTTTTTACGAAAATATGTGTAATAAAATATTGTAGTAAAATCAAAATGACAATTTTATTCTTTTGACTTTTTGACTTTAAATTTTTTAACTTTTTAGATAGTTGAATTCAAAGGGCAAAATAATAATTTTGTCTTAGAGGCTTTCCCCTACAAACTACCTTTGAATGGTATAGATTTTTTAACTTATAACTTTTTGACTGTTTGGCTTTTTTTAGTTTATCCCAAACAGGGCCTAAGTTTGGAAAGTACCTAAAATAACTAAAAAGACAAAAAGTTACTGCAAGTTTATTTTGAGTAAGTAAAAGCTATTACATGTTATCAAATCACTCTTTCTATTTTTCTGTATGTTTTTTTATAAAAAAAATTAACTAAAATAGTCAATTACCAAACCAGTTATGAAATCATTAGGTTTGGCTAGTATGAATTGATTTATATAGGGTACTTACTTTATAGTTATATGTTTGGTACATATTAGTCAAAAGATAATGTGCTCCTATCTCAAGTATGGAAAATTAAAGGCATACAATGTTCGGGTGAAGGATTGAGAGTCTTGTCTCCCCACAAAGAATTAGAAAAAATAAAAGTGTTTTTTGTGTTTTGACTCTTGCAAAAAGCCATCATCAATTGGTTACCAACCATCAACGACCATATACCTTGCTTCTTTGCTCAACAACTCACGTGCGACGCATGCTAATGATTCTGATTATTAAAGCTAAAAACGCGTTTAGAAGAAACATCCACCATCATTATTCTCAAAGAGGACAATTAAAACATCCACAAAATCAAAGAGCGGTCCAGCTTAATTTTGTTGTTTAAGCAAAGTTTTTTTTTTTCTTAATCATTGTAGAGAGATGGTAGTACTATACTTTGAAAAATGTTGAATTGATTGACAACATTTGCTAACAACTTACTGTTTTTGTTCGAAAAGTTACCTTTTGGAAAGTGTGAAATTTAACTCTGCTAGTTAATTTGTATAAAGTTATTAAGTTCATTAAAGCCTTCTTTTGGCTATTTTATAGCATAAAATTATAAAAATACGCTCTATCAAACTCAATTCTTGGCTAACTATTTTAGTCATTATCAAGCTCATTAAAACCTTCTTTTTTGGTTATTTTATAATATAAAATCATAAAAACACAGCCCATCAAACTCAATTCTTGACTAACTATTTTAGTTGAAAATCAAACCACTAACTACATGTAGTTAGGGAAAAGTTACATGTAACTAAGAAAAGAAGACTCGACAAATGAAATAAAGAATAGAGAACTTATTGGAGAATGTATTTAAAAAGATGGTTAGCTAAAATAAAAAAATAAACTTTTAGTTAAAATTTCGCTAAAATTTTGACTATTTTAATGGAGATGCTCCTAATTAATCCTATTAGAGTACTATTTGATGCTTTATACTGATAGATTTACCAGGCTGAGCTCATACTGTTCTTCTTTTTTTTTTTTATGTCCATGAGAACTATCAAATTTCAATCTACAGGACTAACTATTCTTTTGCCCCAAGATAGTACTACTCATCCCAAAGGCCTCAATTATTGTAGAAACAACTGTAACAATATTTAGAAGTTAATTGGGTTTTTTAAGTTATTGTTTATTAGACATATTACCTACAGAACATGAGAACTTAATCCTTAAAATTTTAATTCCCCTGTTATTCTAGACCCTCAGCCATGTGATTAAACGTGCTTTAAGATTTTCGTATTTCAAAATTTTTATTGCAATGTGCAATTAAAAGTGCATTGAAGAAATGAGGACACAAAATTTGAGACAGAGAATTCTACCATGCTAAATATATAAAACGAAATCAATGAACCGTCACTTTTAAAATGAGTCTGGTGACCAAAAAGTTATTTCAGATTCAATAATAGGCATGAGATTGGACTTGCAGAAAAGATTTCTTTCTCTCCAATATGTTGAGGTTGTGTTTGGATCATGAATTTAAGTAGAAATTTGAGAAATGAGAGAAAAAAGTGACAAAAAAATATAAGCCAAATATTTGTCACTTTTTCCTTTTTTGTTCTTCATTCCCTTCACAACTCTTACTGAAATCTAAGATCCAAACACAACTTAAAACACAACATACAAGGAAAAGAGTAGCCATCAAACTTTCTTTTGCATTATCAAAGGACATTAGAATCCAACTTGCCTCATCATTTAACCCTTTTGTTAATACAATAGTAATTGCATTTACTACCTAGGCAAATACATCATCAACTTTATTCATACATTCTCTTCATCACCTCCCTCTCTTCACTGCAATTAGCTTGGAGTTAGGAGAACAGGACTGGAAATTTGATTTTCCAATTAAACTGAAGCTAAGTTATTATAGAAGTTAATTGATGACTATCATGTCCAAAGAGTTTCGCAAAATGAGCCCAAATTGTTGTTCTCATCTATGAAAAAACTGGGATTACTATTCTGGAAACTCTGAGGACTACTGATCATGAAGTTGTCAAAAGATTGTTGCGATGACAACGTTGATGCTTGTGGAGATTGTGCCATTTCCATGTAAATCAAGGCCACCAGGTTGGCCTGTTGGCATTGCATGTTGACTAGCTCTGCTTGTGCCTTTGCTAGTTGTGCTTGGAGCTCATTGACTTGCTTTTGGAGCTGACAAATTGCTCCTGCACATCCATAGACAGGGTCTCTGAGCCTGGCATTGGCCTCATAGACCATGCTACTCACTGCATCTGCCCTTTGGGACTCAGGGAGTTCCTGAAAAAAGTCAAATGAGTTTTGGTCAAATTTGAGACTAGTAGATGAAATGTAATATCATCTAGATGATAAGTTTAAGTTGCCAAGAAGAGGGAAAGAAAGGAAGACTTCACAGTGTTTTAAATAGAATTTGTTCTCCGAATAATGTGACAATGGTATACTTATAAATTATGATCGTATTAATAGAGACCGTGTTTTCAAATCAAGAGATCACACAATAAACCACTTAATTTTGTATCACAATTCTATATAATTTTTTATTATTTATATATCACTATTCTAGTATGTTTGTGTTGTTTCATCTTTGTATTTTTAATTGGATAACTCTATTCTTATTAAAAAAAATCTATACTATATGATGGTATATTTTTAAAACTTGATGAGTCATTTTCTTTAAAATTATAAGATTAAGAATTACCGAATTATTTTTAATTTATTAATTACATTATTTTCTATTTGTTACTCTTTTCAATTACATTGACTATCGCTCTTAAACTCAATCGACACAGACAAAAACTTTGAGACCTGTTGGGCAAAAATAATAATAAAGAAAGTAAGAGTCAAACAAAGCCAACCAGCGTCCAAAAAATAAGTTTATTTGGTAACTGAAAGAGGTCCTACCTTACCAAACAAAATAAATTGTGAGAGGGCCAAGTCTTGAGTAGTTTGTTATTAGTATCTTTCTAATCGAAATTGACAATGCAAGGTCTGTATATATATACATATAAATTATATATATGTATGAGTCCACTTTGTGAACTAACCTTTGACTTGTCAAATATCAGCTTCAAAGCATTTACATTAGAATACAACTTCGGATGTTTCGGAAACAAAATAAAAAGCTAGTTTTTTAATCTTTTTTTTGGTCAAAAAAGTTACAAAAAAACTAACTTTTTTTTGCCAAAAAAGTTAAAAAGTAACTTTTAACCAACTTCTCAAAACACTCCTTCATCTTAAACAATCAAAATTGTCAAGTTAATTTGTGTCCAAACTATAAACTTGGAAACTAGTCACTATAATGAGGTATGCTCTAATGCTATGGGGATCAATATATATGCTCAAGAACATCAGTTAAAATACCAAAGTTTAACAATTGAAAACCTTCTTAGTAACTAGAAATCATCAATTGGGACAAGAACACTAACACGATTGTATATACATCCAATTACATCTGTTTAAGTATTCATTTCATTCCTATTTATTTTGAAAAATAATGACACACCTCTATATTATTAGACAAGTACATAATCGGGTATGCTGTGTTTGATTGGGGAATTTGGGGAGGATTTGGAAAGGGAAATGAAAAAAACAGTTGAAATGTAAATAAATCATGCCTATATTTCACATAGTTTCACAGACTTTTTTTCTTTTTCTTTGTAAATCTCTTCCCAAATCTCCCAACCAAATAGAGCAGTAATGTTTCAAAAATAGTAAATGACTCCTCCTTAATTACCAATAGAAATAACTAACAAATATTTTATTTATTTATTTTTTTTAAAAGTACAGTGAAGTAAAACAAGAACTCCCAAACAAATGTGTAGTAATTCTTGGATGTGTCAAAAATTGTTGATGTACCTGCAAGAATTTGATAATGTTGCTGGCACCGAAAACGCGGTGAGCGGTGGTAAACTTGAGGGGATCGGTGGGCGGGAAGTAGGGAGCCAACACGCATTTCTCGGCGCACCTCCGCCTGAGGATCTTACATGCTGCACAAGGGCTGACAACAACTTGTGATGGAGGAGGTGGTGGTGGTGGAGAAGATGAAGATGTAGGTGAAACAGAGTACTGAGGGGATGACGAACTAATGGTGGTGGTGGTGGTGGTTGTGTCACTGCCACTGCTCTCCATCTTAGAGAGAGAAAGTTATATGTAGGGGAGAGAGAGAGGGAGGGGGGTTTGGAAGTTGGGGGAGGTGGAATTTGCAGTGTTGGATGAGAATTCAGAACATGCATCTATGAGTATATATAGCAGGGGTGAAGCCCGGGAATGTGGGGGATGGGGATGACGTCATGAAATGGCAGCATGACGTCATGCAATTTGAAAAGAGTTTAATGGATTTTGCTTTTTTACGCGCAGAGGTTTGTGTGTGATTTTGTAATTAATTTTTTTATAATAATAAAATATGTTACAATAATCAGAATTTTATATTAAATTTGATAAGTATTTGACATGTAATGATATACTGAAGGAGTAATTAATTATAAACATAGTGACGTGGTGATGCTTTAATCACATTTAGTCATTAATTTGTGTGGGGTCTACATTAATTCTACTTAAATCAATAATTGAGATGTGGTTAAAATTTTGTAGTGGGCGTGGTGTGGTAAGGTGAGGTGAAATAATTTTGAATAAATTACACTTACATTTTTTAAGATTTATATTTATTATAATTTTCTTTTTATTTTTAAAAAATTATATCCCCCTCTTTGAAGTTTAAAGTTTTATTATAGATTCCTCCCTTAACAATTTAATTTTTTTAAATACTAATTTTATCCTCACTGGGTGAATTACATTGACACCCCTCATATTTTAGAAATTACAATCCATTCCTTAAGGTTTAAAGTAGAATTACCAATTGCCCCCTCGGTTAGTATTAGTTGGAAAAAAAATTTAATTGGAAAAAAATTAATTGAAAAAAATTTTGTTAGTAAAATTTTTAAATTTCTATTTAAAAACTAACGTAAACTCATTTTTTGAATTTATTTATTTTTTTCTTAAATTTACAAACTGAGACAACTATTTATAAACTAAAAAGATTATCAAACAAGTTTTTATGATAGTTTTTTAATTTTTGTAAATATAAAGTGAAAACTGAAAACGAAATGATTACCAAACATGCTTCAGATAGTAAAAATGTGGTAAAATTAATAAATAATTAAATAAGTTACAAATGTAAGAAATGACTTATCAAAAGATTCTTAGGCTATGTATGGTTTTCTTTTTAAAAAATTTAAAAAAAAAATAAAAAATAATTTGGTTAAGAAATAAAAAATAAAAAATAATTATCATTTTTATATAATTTTTATCTTTCGAGTAGTTAGAAATAATTTTTTACAAATTAAATTGAAACAGCCATACTTATGTATATAACCTGCTCAAAAGTTAAAATGATAATTATTTTTTACCTTTAAATGATAATTATTTTTTATTTGTTATTTCTTAACCAAATTAATTTTTAATTTTTAAAAAAAATTTTAAAAATCAAACCATACATAGCCTAAGAATATTTTGATAAGTCATTTCTTACGTTGGTAACATATTTAATTATTCGTTAATTTTATGACAATTTTACCTTATGAGACCTGTTTGGTAAGGTAGCATTTGATAATGTTTACTTTTTTTTGTTTATATTTACAAAAAATTTATAAATTGATTTTTGTTTATTTTTAGAAAAACATAAACTAGAAACATGTTTGGTTTGAACAAAATATTTGAAATTTTTTTAAAATATAAACTAAAAAATATGTTTGTTCAGGCCTAAAATATTTATATTTATTTTTTTTTATTTATGATAATGAGATCATACACGTTATAATTGAAACAAAAATTTATTTGAAAAAAAAAAATTGAAAAAAAAATTATTTGGAAAAAATTAATTGGAAAAAAAATCATTCAAAAAAAAATTATTTGAAAAAAATTAATCAAAAAAAAATTAAATGAAAAAAAATTAAATGAAAAAAATGTAATTGAAAAAAAAAATTTGTTAGTCAAATTTTTAAATTTTTGTTTAAAAACCAACATAACCTCATTTTTTGAGTTTACATTTTTTTCTTCAATTTTATAAACTAAGACAACCATTTATAAACTAAAAAAATCATCAAATAAGTTTTTATGATTGTTTTTAAAATTTTTGTAAATATAAACTGAAAACTAAAAACTAAATGGCTACCAAACAGGCCTACCATTTCATTTTTAGTTTTCAATTTATATTTACAAAAATTTTAAAAATCGTCATAAAAACTTGTTTGATAATTTTTTTGGTTTATAAATTGTTATCTCAGTTTGTAAATTTGAGAGAAAAAATGTAAATTCAAAAAATGAGTTTATGTTGGTTTTTGAAAATAAATTTTAAAATTTTAATGACAAATTTTTTTTTTCAATTAATTTTTTTTCTAATTAATTTTTTTTTCAATGAAATTTTTTTTTTTCAATTAATACTAACTGAGAGGCAATTGATAATGCTACTTTAAACTTTACGGAGGGGATTGTAATTTCTAAAATGTGAGGGATGTCAATTTAATTTACCCAATGAGAGCAAAATTTATTTAAAAAAATTAAATTGCTGATGGGGGAATTTGTAATAAAATTTTAAACCTCAAGGAGAGAAATGTAATTTGTAAAAAGTGAGAGATAAATTGTAATAAATATAAATATCAGGAGATATTAGTGTAATTTACCCAATAATTTTTCATATCGATGCAAATGTGGCATCAAATAGAACTGTGGTATATCATTTCATTTAATATAAAATTAATTGTCTATGACTATTAATTGCAATAGGTGAAAAGTTTTTACACATATGCGGAAAGTTGAAAAAATTATTACATGAGTTAAAAAAAATTATAATTTTGAATATATTAAAGTTTATTATTATTTTTCAAGTTATACCTGATTTGAAATTCTTCCATAGATTTATAATTTTTTTTAATTATATTTAAATTTAAAATCACAAATTCTATCCATTTGTGGAAAGTTAAAAAAATTATTATATATGAGTGAACAAATTTATAATTTTAGGGTAATTCTTAAGCGTACAATATGTACTTGCATAGATTCTCACAAATATACCTAGGTTGACTTATAAAATTACGTAACTTTTTACAAACATACGTAAGTTAATTTATAAAAATTTAAGAAATCACAACTTGCGTATATTTGTAAGAATTTACGTGATTTTGTAAGATATTTATGCATATATGTGAGAACTTACATAACTATGGTATGCACCTTACACACCCAAGCACTTCCTTTTTAATTATTATAATTAATAAAATTTATTATTAATTTATCATTATTTTTCAAGTTATACCTAATTTGAAATTCCTTCATAAATTTGTGACTTTTTAAATTATATTTAAATTTAAAATCGCAATTTGTTATGTGATCTTTTTTGGCCATCCTAATGCAATAAATTTCATTTCATTTCTCATTACATACAAGTTAATTAAATTTGATTATCACAATATTATTCCAAAAATAATTAAGGATTAATTACAACAAAAAAAAAAACAAGATTTCACATATTTTTTACATTAAATCTCAATATTTCAATTTCGATAAATTAAACTCTAAAATTTCATCCGTGTTTCAATGTGCCCCATCTGTTCATCTCCGTCTTTATAAGGTAACGGAGTATCATTTTGGGGTTTAACATGAAAAACACTAAGGTTTAAAGTAAAAAAACGCGTGAAATCATGATTTATTTATTTTTTTGTAATTAACACTAATATTTAATTTTTTTGTGCATATATATAACTTAAATATCTTATTCTATATGTACATGTGTACTTGTATATAGGGATGTAAGAAAAAACAAAACAAAACCGACCAAACCGTTTGAACTGGACCGAATTGGCCATATTTGGTCTATTTTTAACAATAATCAGTCTGTGCGATTTTTTAATTAAATTTTTTTCGATTTTCGGTTCAGTATCAATTTAAACACCTTGTGCACCGAATTAAACCGAAACCGACTGCTTCAATATATATTGTATATATAATTTATATAATCCAATAATATAATGATATTAAAAAATATAATAAATTATTAACTTCAATTAATTAATCTTATCATCCCTGTAACCTAAGATAGTAAATTTTTATTATATATAACTTTAATTCTAACTTATTATTTTTAAAGTCTTACTATTTATTTTTAGTATTTTTTGTTTGTATCTTTTTTAATGTAAGAATTGAAAATTATTTATTAAATGGATGTATTGGATATGTTTCAAATAGTGGACAAATAACTAATTCAATAATTTTACATAGATTAGTGGCTATACTAAAAATGACTAAAGTTTGAAAGGTCCTAAACTAATTAAACCGCACATAACCAAACCGTTTCAATTAGTTCGGTTCAATGTGGTTTGATAGGAGAAGCGGTCTGTATTGATACTCAAAATAATAAAACCGACATTAGTGGTTCGGTGAAAATTTTAACCTAAATACCGATCGTACTGAATCGATTACATCTCTACTTATATATGTGGTGAAATTTTTTTATTCAAATTTTGAGTCATTTGATGATTAAATTTTGATTTTGTCCCTAATTTTGATGATTATGTAAGAAAGGTTACTGAAATGCAATTAACCCTCTTTTTTTAAAGTATGTGCTAGTGTATGTGATGCAGTTTTTGTTTATAACTTATAAGATAAAAATAACTTAAATAAGTTTAAAAAATATTTTTTTGTGTTGTTTGGTACAATTTATGTGACTTGTTTATAATCAACTTTTAACTATAGCAAACACAATATTTGAAAGTGGAGAATTGGTACTTTTGACTTATGTTATCAACTTTTAACTTAGGGAGCAGTTTGCCTCCAGTCTCTAATCGGATTGGACGGTGTTTTTCAGTCTGTGGGAGCTCATTACGATTCTCATTTTGATAATTTGAATTGTGTAATCTGTAGAACTCGTCGAATACTATATGTTTGTAAAAAATCACGTTGATCGGATATCTATAGCAATGTGATCAAATCAGTTTTGTATGAGAAAAAAAATGGACGGTGAACAAATTATTGGTTGACAAAAAACTGATAAGATGAGATAGCTATTGACATCCGATCAACATGATTTTTTACAAGCATATTGTACTTGAGAGGTTCTACACATTTAACGGTTCAAATTATCAAAACAGAATTCGTAATGGGCTCCCACGGGCCAAACAACATCTTCCAGTCCGATTAAGGATTGGAGGCACGCTGCTT